GGAAGCACACCTTGGCCGAAGTTGGAAAATGATGTTGCAGAATGGGTACTCCTGCAGAGACAAGATGGCTACATTGTAACCAGGAATAAAATAAGATCATATGCCCTAAAATGGGCTAAGTCAAACCAAGAAGAAAGTAAAAATTTCAAAGCAACTGTAGGCTGGTGCAATCGTTTTATGAACAGAAAAAATCTAAAAAAAATATATAAGGTAGAAATGGTTTTATTACTTTTATCATCAGTTTATAATGTTAATCTTTTCATGTTCGTTATTGGTTATCGCACCGATGCCGCGGTTAGCCTACCGACGAACTTAGGTTTCTTTTCTTCTTCTTTTTTTTTTTTTTTAGAATTGTAGTATAAGACGACACCCACTTTTTAACGGTGATTTTGGAATTTAAAGATTGTCTTATACGCAGAAGTATATGGTATATAAAAAAAGATTGTATTCCTCCTCGCTCCACTCCCACCAAAATGATTGTCTAATTTATTTCTGGAAGTTGGCAAGAAGTCTTTGTAAATAAAGTACTCAGTATCAAGGGACAGAGCGTTAGTAACAAATAAAGCTAAATTATCTTACATACTCTTTCATTGCTAATGGTATCCATTCATCATAGAAAGATTGAATTTATTTAATTTAGAAATCATATATAACTTATGTTTTCTGTAAATAAATTCAATTTTCATATGAACCCTTCTGATCAGTGGATAGGATATCTGCTCAGATAGGAACATTTAAATTATAATTCTCTCTCATTTTTATTATATATAAGAAAGAGTGTATATTTTACTTGAATAATATTTCTCGAATATTCAGCTCTATAGACAAAATTAAATATACTGTTTAATAAATAAATGGAGTGTCCACTAAAAATAATGTTTAAAATGAATTTATAATGGCTCAGTTTTTTTTTTAGTTTTTTTATACATATGTATCATAAGATACAGACAACTGAGATACCCAATTTTGTTCCACATCACCAGTTGATATGCATTTTTATTTGTACCAATTATTAACTTGATTGTAACAAGCTGACAGGATAGATTTTTCAGGTAAAATGCATTATATTTGATATTGCAATAAATTAAATACATGCAGATATTTCTGCCCACAGATTAATTTTAGTTAGCAGTCATTTGTAATATAGCAGAGTTAGATTTTTTGTTGATGTTATCTTACAAAATGTTTATTACATTTTTACTATCAGTTACTTAAATAATATTTATTATTTTTTATACTCTGTACTTTGTTTCTTTTTTGAGTAAAGAATTTCATGTTTAGTGATCTTATTTACTGAATTAAAATAATGAAACTCTTCATAAGAGAATCTTAATGTTATTAAAGTTGATTAAATTTAATCAGAGAACATGAGTGCAATTCTTCACCAATCACTCTGTTTATAGGAGTGTTTTACCAGACTATATTAAATTTAGTAAATACTTGAGCTCACTTTTCTGCTAAACAGATTAGGAGCATATTAATTTTTTAGGTTAGATTTATTATTTTACCAGGACAAAATGTTTTCATGGCACATAATATCAAGTTATTTCTGTTTGTTTTTGTTTTTTTTTCTCAGCATGGTGTTTTATTGATATTAATTTTTTTTTTTAATAGAAAAATATCTTTAAACTGACTGATTTCTCCTTTCCTTCCTCATCCCCACAAAATTCTTCCTGCAAAATGAATTTCTTATTAATGACAACCAAAAACTAGTCTAGAAGAGCCAATTATTATTTGTGAAAAGAGTTGAAGGGAATATTCCTTTCATCTCCCAGGAAACGTATAGTAAATTTGGTATTATACCAAATCAAAAATGTATCTTACTTAATTATCCAGTCCATAAATCATTTAATTTTAATAATTTAATGTTGGTAGGATGTTGTTGGTTGTAATTACATACATATATAAGTGAACATTGAAGTCAACACTCAGAGGTGACAGACTGTTTCATGCTAAATGCAATCATCGGGCCTGATTATGGCATTTAGTATGAAACAATCTGTCGCCTCTGAGTGTTGATTCAATGTTCATGTTTATATTTACATATGCTCTATTTCTGATATTGAGCACTTTATCCCATAAATATAGCACACCTTAAAACTATATTTCTTTTTATAAAGGAATGGATTTTTTTAATTTATTAATCCAACAGATCTTTATTACTTAAAAGTTAGTACATATTTTTCTAATAAAATTTCTTGGATATTCAGGTGAGTAGACAAAAATAAATACTGTTTAATAAATAAATGAAGTATCTACTCAAATATGAGTATCCACAAAAAAATAATGTTTAAGTAATAAATAAAAAATGAATTCCTTAACACCCTCCTTTTATTAACTTTTATTGAACAAAAATGAATTACAGTAATTTAAGAAAATTTATATGTATTGTCACATCAAAACATGATTTTGTTATGATTAACAAACTATCTAACATGTTCAAAATACTCCTCTTTATGTTCAATGCAATGCTGAACCATATCGGCAACACTTGTACAAACCATTTCACACATTTCTACATTCATTTCAGAAAGTTTATCTGAAATTGCTTGTTTTAATTCATGGATTGTTTTTGGTTTGAGTCTGTAAACAAGATCTTTCAGTTGACCCCACCAGAAAACATCTGGTGGTGTTTGTTCTGGTGATTTTGATAGCCTCTCAATTGCTCAACATCATCATATCTACCTCAACTTGAAAAAAGGATGTTACTTTTGCCACACACACACACACATATATATATATATATATATATATATATATATATACACACACTTTATAGAAATAAAGAGATAAAACAAGTTTGCAAATGTTTAGATGATTTCTGCTTGTCTACTTCAATTTTATTTCCATAGTTATACATTTGACTACAATTCATGCAATTATAAAATCCATGTACACCCTTATGATTTTTTTTTTACTTTTATCTTTTTGCTACATGTTTACATAAGAATTTTAAAGTTGACAAATATCTCAAATTCTAGTATTTTTCATCCTATTTTTGATTTAGAAAACAATCTTTTCTTTTAAATTCTCTAAAATTTGATTCTATTTCAAAATTCAGGATCTGAGTTTAAGTATACACAAACGAGACAAGACCATAAATGCTGTTGGTCAAGGGGGGCTGCTGTGATGATAGGGTAGTTGTATAAGTTTCCCACCATCTCTAGTGATTGAAGAAAAATGATAAAAGTGCCAATTTTCAAGATTACAGGACTGATGCAACACAGCCTTTTCTCCTATTTTGACTTGTCAAGCTAAACTTAGTAAATGTGTATACCATATCTGCAGGTCTACAGAATGTGCCTTGTATTTTTTTTTTTTTTTTTTGCAAATGAACACATTACATTTTACCCAATGCACTTGTATTCTTGATGGGAAATCAGGTACTAACAGCTCAAGCTATACAATTAGTGAAGATAAGTTGGGAGCAGTCAAACAAAAATATAATTGGAAAACTGTTAAATTAGAGATCAATATATATATTATAGAATTGTTTCTGTTAGGACAAGATGTAATATAGTCTTTTTATTATTTCATTCTCATCTTTATTTACCTTATGATTGCATTATGGATTTGTCAATCTCTTTCATTAGGATGTGGTTTGTGATGAGATTTCTTTATAATGACATCCTTTTTATTCTTTTCAGTGCTAATGCTTAGAAATAATGACCAACAAACTAATTGTTACTTACTCAAATTTTATTTGTTTCTGTTAATACCACATCATTTTATCAAACTGAGAAATAAATTTCAAAAGTTGCTTTTACTTTGTATTATGAATAATGATTATTTTAGATCATTTGACAGTATTGATTTTTCAAGAATGTAGAAAAAATCTCAAAACTGAATCTTAATTGGAAAATAAAAAAATCAGTTTATAATAATCCATTCTTTGTGGAACAACTTTTGAATTAAATTAAAGTCAATAGTTGAGGGTAACCATTTTGTCATAAAATATTCTTTTTTGTGAGTTTATTATACTAAATGTAACATATTATGAGCAGAGGTAGTAACTTTAATAAAATTAAATTTAAAAATTCTAAGATATCTGACATTGTCTTCTAAAAATACTTTCAACTTCCAAATATCATTATTAACATGTTTTGGCTAATTTTATTTTGTTTAATCCATATTAAAAGGTCAAAACTAGAATTAAGAAGGATTACCAAGTGTTAAAGAAAATATTGGAGGAAATCTGTTTAAATTTTAAGAGTAAAATGTTTTCTTAATCCTTTTACTTGTTTCTTGCTTAAAAGGTAATCCTACCTCTGTCCAATAAGAGTTGTTACATTAACGAATACATTTCATATATGAAATGTAACTACTATTATGGGACAGGCAGTTTGTTTTGCTTATTAAAATAGTTTAGCAGATGAAGGCATATTTGCTTGAATTTAATATGAGCTTGAGTTTAGTTCAATAGGAATAAACTTTCCAATCTGATATCAATCTGTCAGCAATGCAAGCTTTTGGTTTTACTGTGAATTTGTATATTTGCATGGTTGAAAGTTTTAGTGTTTACATCTTTCTTAAATTTGTATCTAATAAATCGACTCAAACCATCCTGTTAGTACCATTTGTTGATCTTACATAAGGTTGACCGTAGCTATCTGTATTCAGTAGTACATAAATTTCTCTGTATGGTCAGTTATATTTAAATTTGGTTTCTTGCATGTCTTTAAAAATAAATTGTCCTCTCTTATACTTTATCATGAAATGGGAAACTTGAATAAAATTGTTTTAATATTTACTCAACTTCATTTAGTCATCAAATATTATTCATTTATATGGTTGAAATCTAAATAAAATGAATATATTTTTTGTAATAATGCTTCAGTGTGTCATATATATATATATATATATATATATTTTTAAATATCACTTGATAACTTCTAGATTTTGTTGTTATAATGATATGCCCACATTAAAAAAAATACACTTCTGAAATTAAACATTAGATATACAATAAATAACTGATAACAAATTATTTTCTTTTGTAGAAACATGGTAGTAGCAATAACAGAGCATCAAGTGGAACTATTCCAAGATCTGTGGCAAATAAACACTTGGAACAAAATACCACTGCTATTCCTGGAGGATCGGAATGGACTTTTGAAAATATCAGGTCTGAAATGGTAAGTAAGATTAATAATACTTATTTTAAAAATCTAGCCACAAGAAATGTTTATTTTGAAGATTATGTAATGTGAAAATTTCAGACATTGGTTTGCTATTAAACCTAAATACTGACCAATGGTTCTAGAAGGAAACTTTCTATTGATGTATCCTTGGAAACACTTCCACCAATATACTTACCAAAATATGAAAATTTTGTATTGGATTAGTATCTCTTTCATCAAGCTGAGATAATTTCCCCAGCATCAATAGTGTGTGTTCCAGTTCAGGTAAAATCCAGTATTTAGAATGCTGATTTTCAAAGCTAACATGTTTTCTGCACTAGGAAGATTGGTCTAATATCTTCTTTTAGTTCTGTGCCAAAAAATACTAAATTGGTGAAAATATCCAGATTTTTATTATATTTAATGTTAGTCTTATAATTGACTATAGTCTAGAGATTAGTCACCTTTATGATTTGTATTTAACTATTCAAAAAGATCACTTGGTTGTATTTAGTTTTATGAGAGGGTGCTGAAAAGTTCTTGGTCTGATTTACTTTCAAATATCAATATTTCAGTGATCAGAATACTGATTTTGGGAAATTTTTAGCACCCCCTCCTAAAACTAATTATATTAAATAAGATCACTTTTGGTTTTGTGGCAGATGTAATATTAGTGTTCACTTAAAAAGAAATTGTATTTTTCTTGTTTTTATTCTAATACTGAAGATAGAAGAAAAATAGGCAATATCTTTGGTATATCATCTTTTTTTTTTTTTTTTTTTTTTTTTTTTAAGAATGCTTAAAAAAAGTAACTTACAAAAACAGGTTTGTACAATTTATGGAGGTATTGTTCATTATGATGATGGCTGGAGGGCAAAATGACCGAAAGATGATAACAACAACAACAAAGATGAGGACAATGGTGTAAATAATGATATCTCCTCATCCTAGAAATTCGGATTGAAGTCAAAAGTGGTTTACAAAATTTCATGATACTTAGACTAATTGAATTTGTTAGCATATAGTGAGAATAATCAACATTACACAAAATGGAAGATAACTGACATATTCAAAATATCTAAATGAAGTATTAAAAGTAATTTGCAACTTGATTATTTTAATCACTTTGGTGTGTGGCTTCCACATAAATTAAGTGAAACAAAAACTCATATTACTGTATTTCCATGTGTGATCCACACAGAAACATAACGAAAATATTCTGTTTTTTAAATAAATTGCGACGAATGATGAAAAATGAGTACTTTACAACAATACAGGATATGAGTGACCATGAGACAAACAAAATGAAACAGTTCATCACACCAAAGACTGGTTTTCATCCAAAGAAAGTGATACTCTGTATATAGTTGAATTTAAAGGAATAGGTTCCTTCCAGGGAATCAAATAATTAATTTGAACAAGCACATTTCTAAGACTATCTGAAAGCAGCTATTGATGAAAAGTGTACATCTGGAATTATTTTGTAATATGTTTCTTTAGTGACTTGGCATAAATTGTTACAGCTTAGTTAGGAAGTTTTCATTCATCCACCATATTGCACATTTGGATTATCATTTAGTCTCCTTATAGAATTCTTTTAATGAAAAATATTTAAATTGCCTGAAAAACTGTAAAGGCACAGAAAGTAGTTAGTTTTTTGCTGGGATAATGTTCTGGAAATATAGTATTATGAAGTTGACTGAAAAAAGGCAAGATATAGTGGGATGAAACAAAGTTTATATATATTACTTATTTTCATTTGATGATCTGAACAAGTTTTTTTTTTACTTTATTGATGTAATGAATATGCATACACTTGGGTTCCCCCTCACAGTAATATGATTGGCTGGTGTTGGCCATAAATACAGACTGATGTGGAGGTACGTCTATAGTCTTTGCCTATTGCCTACCACTATGATGAGGACCAGTCCGTTACGGTTACCTGCTAGATTGTCCTACCCGGTTACAGTAGTCAACAACCACTTTGCTACTTCGAACAAATATATCCCTTTCCAGGACATATCATTTATATAAAGTCTTTATCTTTCTAGGTGATGTATCTGTGCTTATTTTTAGATTTCCACTAAACACTGTATATATTTTTTTTATTCAGTATTTCTAATAAAAAAGATGTTTTAGAAAGCTTGAATTACTTTAGAAGAAACCAAAAAAATAGGCCATGTGAAAATAGTACATGAATAAATCTTCAATATCTTAAGTAAATACATAATTATTTATATCCTGTTTTCTTTTCTTAATATCATTGTCCATCGAATTTTTAATCCATATTAAATCAAAAACTTATTTTTCTATTTCTTCTATTTTGTTTACTTCAGTATTTTAAAAAGAATTTAGAATTATATTTTTTTTGTGTGTTTGTATAAACGTGTTGAGTTTTGTAAATATGGACATCCAGATGCAACATTATCAGAAAATGAGAGTTATAACTATAGTAAATTTAAAGCCAATATACCTAAAATTTTATAAAATATTAGATTATAGAGAATATTTTCTTAAAATTTTAAGACTACTTGGTAGTTAAAATTTATATATAAAAAAAAAAAAATGTACTCAGATTATATTCCACGAGTTATTTTTACAACCCATAGAAAAAATTAGATAAACTTCTGGTTGTCAGTGAAGTTGTCAACACCTTAAATAATGACCTAACTCCTTGTTAAAAAATATATTGCTGCAATATTTTAAAATAAAGTAATATTTGCTTCAAATTAGATTAATTAAACTTTAAATCATCAAATATTCCTGAAAATATTTGAATATTTCAGAAAAGTATATTTTATTTCTGAAAGGTTTTTAATTAAGAGAATTACATTGTACTGACAAATGGCTAAATATGGTGCTAAAAATCAGCATTTTTTTTTTTTTTAGCAATTTCAAAACAATCCTTTCAGTCAATTTAAATTATTTTTTAAATAAAGCAAAATATTTTGCTTATTGGAAATATTGAATTTAATCAGTTAGCTTGAAATTAAAACTAAAGTAAATGTAAAAGCTTCAAGAAAGATTTTTCATTTATAAAAATTAATTTTAAATTTTAGTTATTGCATTTCTTTGGAGCAATTTAAGTTTGTGACATTTTTCATCATGTATACTCAATATTTAGCGAATCTTTGGTGGTACCTATTTTTATCCTACTGACTTTTATCCTACTTTACAAGAACTGACTTTTATCCTACTTTACAAGAACTGACTTTTATCCTACTTTACAAGAACTGACTTTTATCCTACTTTACAAGAACTGACTTTTATCCTACTTTACAAGAACTGACTTTTATCCTACTTTACAAGAACTGACTTTTATCCTACTTTACAAGAACTGACTTTTATCCTACTTTACAAGAACTGACTTTATCCTACTTTACAAGAACTGACTTTTATCCTACTTTACAAGAACTGACTTTTTATCCTACTTTTTACAAGAACTGACTTTTATCCTACTTTACAAGAACTGACTTTTATCCTACTTTACAAGAACTGACTTTTATCCTACTTTACAAGAACTGACTTTTATCCTACTTTACAAGAACTGACTTTTATCCTACTTTTACAAGAACTGACTTTTATCCTACTTTACAAGAACTGACTTTTATCCTACTTTACAAGAACTGACTTTTATCCTACTTTACAAGAACTGACTTTTATCCTACTTTACAAGAACTGACTTTTATCCTACTTTACAAGAACTGACTTTTATCCTACTTTTACAAGAACTGACTTTTATCCTACTTTACAAGAACTGACTTTTATCCTACTTTACAAGAACTGACTTTTATCCTACTTTACAAGAACTGACTTTTATCCTACTTTACAAGAACTGACTTTTATCCTACTTTACAAGAACTGACTTTTATCCTACTTTACAAGAACTGACTTTTATCCTACTTTACAAGAACTGACTTTTATCCTACTTTACAAGAACTGACTTTTATCCTACTTTACAAGAACTGACTTTTTTAAATGTAAAATTTTTTGCTTTTTTAATTTAAGTATTTTTATTATGCTACTAGCAATAAAGTTACGAACATTTGGATTTTGGGATGGGTTAAATTTTTATTCTGGATGGTTCTGGGCTAATTTAGTATGGTATCCTGTCTTTTTTTTTTTCTTTTTTACTGTTTTGTAAGAGTTGTAAACATCTCTGATAATTAATTATTTTTTTTTTTTGTAACTCAGAACATAAAATGACAACAGCATGTTGCAAACAGATAACAAGAGTCAACAAAAATTCTATCAAAGCTTTATTGTTACAGATACACCTTGGTGATTGTAATTATTTCTCTGATTTTAATTGTATGGCTTGTACTGAGTTTGCAACATTTTCAATTCGAAAATTACCTGTGCTTAAGGATGAAAAGAATTATTGAAATTATTTATTTAAAAGATTTTGTATGGATTTGGTAATGTTTTAGGCTGTTGTGGGAATGCTTGTTGTGTTTAGGTATGTTGTAGTGTAAGCAAAGAATCTGTTGAGATTGGAGGAAACACCTAACTGATTGCTTTCCCAGCAACTACAGGTATAATAGAGGGAGAGAGGGGAAAGAAACGGGTTGTAACAAAAAAAAAAAATAACACTGCCCCGGGGAAACCACAGCCACTTGAGGAACCAAAGCCCACTGGAGTGATTTCACAAGACGTTGTCTTTCCAACTGGTGGCTGCTGTTTCCCCCCCCCTTTATTGGCAGGAGGCATCTTATAAAAACCTGGATTTTAGCCAGTTGCAGAGAGGCCTGTATCTAGCTAGACATGCCAAACTGTCCTGCTGTTAACAGAAAAAACCCTATGTAACTGGTGGAACATGTCTGCATGCGATCCGAGGCCTCTTTTGTGTCTGTACTGACACACGTTTGCCACAAGGTAGAAAATGTGTCTTCTGGTATTATTTTTCCTGTAACAATTACTGCGGACTTGAATGTGAGTCCAAGTAAAAAATGAGTAATAATATAAAACAAGCAACATTGCATGTATTAACAAAAGTATTACAATAACAAAAAACA